TGTATTGCAGCAGAAGGATCTAAGCTGAAAACAGACGACCGGAGGAATATAAAAAGTAGCTTAGTTGTGACTACGATTGTAAAAAGATTAACCCAATGTGTGCAAAGTAGAATGTTATCATCTGTCCATCTGCCTTTAACTATATCAGGACTATTTACATAAAACCCTCCGTGTGTCCCTTGAATTAGTGATTGTAATTCTTGACTGCCAATAGATGCTTGCTGCTATGATTTCCTGATATATTATTTCAGATAACCAATTCCCATGCTAAATGGTTGATACTGAAATTTTCTCCATTATATATACGAGAGTGCCTGAAAGATATACTTGGAAATATATATGCAATCATTACTTTGAAGTCCTGCTCTGAAAGCACCAAATTTAACATGCTCTATGCAAAAGTTACATGAAGATCAAGCATCAATTTGTACTATTATTTTAGGAAAGAAATATTCATAATATGTATATATTTCAAACATGTATGCCTGCATTTGACATTAGTTTTTCAGAGTGCTAAATTTACTTTGTGACATATTGATATTTTAATATTATAATTTTCAAGAAATTTACTACCTCCTCTTAAAATGAATCCCTCTCCAATAAATAATCCATCTCTGGAGAATAATAGAGGACAGAATGTTGAGTAGATATCTGGCACTAGTGAGATTTCCAGCACCTACAATGATGAAATAATTTGGCAATAGTGGAGAGGCTACCTTAAATGCCCTTCCCGGATAATGAGATTGATGACTACCATGTATGCAACACTAGATCCTTCATCCATGGGTTGATGGAATTAGAGGCATACACTCACAGCTAAACACTGAACTGACATCCTGGAACTCAGTAACAGACTGGGAGGAGACATGAGCAAAGTGGTCAAGATCAGACTTGTGAAAGCCACAAAACTGGTGAACTGAACAAGGAACAGCTCATGAATACCAAAATGAGGTCTGAGAGCACAACTTGGCCCGATCCAGACCACCTAAATTTGTTGTCACTGAGGAACCGTCAGTTATCTATGGTTCCCAGAGAAAGAGATTTCTATCTCAGATATTATCCTCTGCTTTGCCTTACTTTCAGCATCTTTTTCTGCCTTCTTGTTTGAAAATTTAGGATAAATCAAAACTGACAACTACACATTTTTCTCTAGATATGGGTGGGAGCCTAGGAGGAATGTTGGGGATTGAGGGACAACAGGAGGGAGTGGGAACTGGCATTTACATGTGAAGAAAGCTATTTAAAAATAACGTAATAAAAAATAAAAAGTGCCTACGGCATGTATGGATTGTTCAAATGCACCAAAGTTCAATGACAGTGTGATCATGTTTAGAATCAAGCCTGGAATGTCGGTCCTCTGGGAGCCTTTTGGCAATTGTAAGTAAGATTATTGTGTTGAATATTTTCACAAAAGACCTTGTGTAACAGGTAACACACTGTATCTAAATAGGTTGAAGCTCTTCAGTAGTCTTGGCACAACAGATGCTCTAAGGGTAGCTTAAGCATCAGTAGATCACTGGTCTTTTTAAAAACTGATTCCTGAATTGAATCTCCTTTTGTACATGATGTAGAATCCAAGACATGAGGGGAGGGGAGGAATGATGTCCTAGTGAAGGTGGATTGGCTGCTGAGTTAGCAGAATGTTTTCTGTAACTGTGAACAAGACCAAGGTAAAAATAGTAGCAATTTCCTGCCTTTCCTGGGATTCCAATTAATGTTTCCAGTAGATCTCAAGAGCATTCCTAATACCCCGAGGAGCAGCTTGAAGTTAGGCTCTGTCTGGAGCCTGAAAGCCAGACAGTAAACCACACTGGCATATGTGATACAATTTGTATGAAACTGTATCACTTCTGGATGCCTCTGTCTGACTGAGTATTACATGAAAACAAAGAATGCATATAGGATCAATGGTGGCTCAGAGGTTAGGAGCACAGTATGCTCTTCCAGAGGACCTTGGTTCTATTCCCAGTACCCACATGGCAGCTCTCAGCTGTCTGTAATTCCAGTTCAAGGAGATCTGACCTGCTCACACAGACATATATGAAGCAAAATTACCAAAGCACATAAAATAATAATGAATAAATTACATCTAAAAATAGATTTTAAAAAAAGAATGCATATAGGACTAATTTCGAGAGAGATCTCAACCATAGCAAAACAATACTTACTCTACTTTAGGAAGTCTATTTCAGAGCCATTGTTTCATGCCACTTCCTTAAATTTCTTTATATTGCTACAGAAATAGCTAAATTAAACGGAAAAAGATAGGGAAAATGCAATTCATCTGGCTCCAGAAGTCAACAGGTAACAAAGTACTATAGTCTAATTGTTAAACATGTGTCTCTATGCTTAGTTCTCTATCATATTTTTCCACAATGAGGCCTCCAATTTTATCTGTAACATTTGGATTGTGAACCCGAGCTGCCAAGTACACTGTGAGCTGACTCCGTATGATCTGACTGTGTCATATTCTTCAAGTGATGTGATTATATGTTAGAATCTTCACACTATATCAGATCTTTATACTATTAGACTGTACTACACATGTTTTTGTTACATAATTAAATAGTAAATTCTAGCAATATATCCCATCGACATGAAGTCCCTTACATTATCAATATAAATGATTTTATAGTATTTATTTCCCGAAAATAGATTGTTGAAATAAATGTCGATTTTATCAAATACTTTTGTGTTTGTCATTCTGTTTTTTGTGTGTGTGTGTGTTTCTGTTTGTGTGTGTATGTGCATTTGATTATGTGTAAGTTTATACATTATATTTGGGTTTCCACACATGTGTGCATTTAAGTTGAACGTAGATTCCAAAACATTGTTTAATTATACAAGTATCGTGGTACAAGACCTGAGACATGATTGATCATAAATATGTTCTTGGATATGCACACATTGTGACACAGTGCAAAATCCACATTTTTCCACTGTTTTTAGTTTACTGATAAAACAAACTCACCTAGAAATAGAAATCAAAATAATTTGAGATTTTATTTTATCCAAGTAAGAATGACAATGATCATACTCCTGACACAAGGTGTGAATGTACAGATTAAGATACAAGGGACTAGGATACCATAGCTTAATTTTATTTGGGGAGAAATCATTTAGATGGGAAACCAAGAAACCAAAATTTCCAACTCTGTGAATCAACATGAAGCTGCCCTCTACTTCCTGACAAAATCCAAGAGGGAACAAGCCTGTCCTGGAGCCTAGAACAAATTCCACACACTCACATATGCAACTTTCACAACCCACAATCATTTATGATCATCACCACAGGTACCTCTGGTAGATTTATAACTACAACATAAATCTAGCAACAGCTACTTCAAGGATATGAGGAAAATGGAATAGGTGAAACATGCCTTTAATCCCAGCTCTCGGGAGGCAGAGGCAGGCAGATCTCTGTGAGTTTGAGGCGGGGCTGGACCGACAGCCTCCAAAACAATACGGAGAAATCCTGTCTCAAAAAACCAAAAAAAAAGCATTTAAAATATGCCATGCCTCACACTCAGGATATCTGTGTGGAGATTTACCAAATGTTCCAAATAAATCTCCCATATGTTTCAACCTCACAATAAACTTTCTTGATCCTATGGGACTCAAAACTTTCTTGACAATGTTCATTAAGAGCATATTAAGATAAACAAAGAAATGTTAATATCATATCTCTTTCTTAAATTACACTACATTTAATTAATCAATACTCAATGCTTTACTAACGATGATAGAAATTGTCACAAGTTTTTAGTCTAAGTTACCCATAAAACTTGTGATTTTTGAACTATTGGAATAGACATTTTACTCAATAAGTAATGTTAATCTATTTAAATGCCTTATTTCCACTAGCTGAAACAACTTGATTAGTAAATATATTTGTCGAAAAATCAAGTTTCACAAGTGAGTTGGGAGTAAGTTATTCTTTGGGGGAGGAAAACAGTGCCGCCATTAACCATGTGACTTACTAGAGGTGCACACCACACAGATGAGGTAATAAAATGGTGATTTACCACACCACTAAACACACCCACTTTAGGCATGACTAAAGACATATATGGATGTAGGCGGTGAACTATGTCACAAGAGAGGCGCACTTTTGGGCATGGCTAGGGGCGTTAAGGGGGCAGGTATAAAAGACTGAACAACAGAAGTCTCGCTCTCTTTTTCCTGCTTTCAGCTTCGAGTTTGGTGGCAAAATACTACTCGGCTCATCTGGGTTACTTGTTTGGTCTCTTGTGAGTAATTTCTACAATAAATACTTACTTTCAGTAAGTGTGCCGTTTAACGTTGCAGCATCAATTCTTATTTTCCTTAGTATTACATAGTAGGGCTATAGTGGCTTGTGCACTGAAAGACAATATTTCAAGCCATTCTGATGTTTATTAATCCATTTATCTAAGTCAGATAAGCAAAGACAACAATCCCAACAGTAACAAGAACGTTTGATTCTATCTTGGAATAAAAACAAACAACTGTGGAAATGGTAATTAGAAATTTATAAGTCCCTAAAGTCTGTGTACCCAGCATTTACTGTGATGATATAGTATTTATGATGTAATGGAGGTTGACTAGGGAACAGAAGGCAAAGTCCAGTCACACTACTAAGCTATAGACGCTGAGCAGTGACAGCGCACATTAATCCAAGGAATTCTGTGCCCGAGGCAGATGGATATATGTGAGTCTAAGAACAATCTGAGACACTAGAGTAAGAGAGCTTACATTTTCAATACCATTGATAGAGGGTTATAGCAAGAAGAAACACAGGGTCTAATGAGAGACAAAGTTTTCAGTCACAGGGAAGACAAGATTTCAATTGTATCCTTGGTGGAGGTAAGTGGTACTGGATGGGTGCTTGGCTTCTTGTATCTTTAACTTCATCTCAAATATTTTCCTCTTGGTTTATATGATTCCTTTTATAAATTATTAGGAAAAAAACTGTATGAAGATGTAAATTACACACCTTTCATATAATGCAGTACTTCATGTCCTAGAGAGTAATGTTATATAGTAAAAATGAAGCTAAGACATTAGAATCAGGGTGCCTCTTCCTGTACAGGAGACAAGAGAAGGTGTGGGGGGCAGTAATGCTGGGAATCAAACAATCACTACCTTTCTTGATTCCCACAGGCTCTGTCTCCTGTGGATATCAGGAGTTATCTGCCCTGTCTTGGTCAGTGTACAAGCGAGCTCGGTTATACACAGCATCTCCTGAGTCCTAGAGTATAGCCAGACCCTGACTGGTAAGAATCTGTCCTGATAACGCTTTTTTAGCACTCCTTGCCCAGGATTGTAGAGCTATGTGCATTCAAACAGAACATGGAATAAGAACCAGTGAGGAGAGGGAACTCCATTCTAACAGTGGAGGAAAACTCAGTGCTAAACATGGAGATAGGCATTAGTGCTGCTGATTCATTCTTCTCTCAACTCAAATGTTTGTTGCAGCTGAAGCAGTAAAAATGAAAGTGCATGATAGGAATACATGTAATGTACCCTGGGAATCTGAAGTCAGGTATCAATAAGAAACAATCTAACCTGTGGCAGGTAAGTACGGAAGGGCTTTTATATCTACCTGCACTCTGCATGTTGCCTGGATATCATATATTTTCTATTTCTGCCTGAAGCATGATGATTGTGTTTCCGGGCTTCTAATATATAAAGTAAGAGTTCCAAAGTACAGTATTTTGATGGATGAATTTTACTTTTCTCCTATATACATATGCAAGTGCCTGAAATTGTACATGGGAATGTTATAATTAACACATATTCTGAATACCTCTAATTTGCAAGCCATATTTGACTTTGTCAAATTGATTATGCACTGATCTGAGGTACTCAGGTTTTTTTTATTTGATTATTTTAATTTTAAATAGCTTGCTTCTTATGTCAATCCCATTTCCATCTCCCTTCCCTCCTCCTGCACGCCCCCACCGTTCCTCCAGCCTCCACCCTTTAGCCACTTCCTTCCACATAGGTGATATTAGAGTCTGTCATTTCACTCAGGGCAGGGTCCAGACACTCCCCTAAGAGTCCAGGCAGAGAGAGCATCCCTCTTTGTGTTATGAATACACGATGTCTGTTTGTATAACACGAATAAACACGGATCTGCTGCCCAGGGCCCCATATGTTGCCCAGGCCTCCTCACTGACTCACACACAGGGGGTCTGGATCAGTCCCATGCTGGCTTCCCAGCTGGTGGTCGGGAGTCCAAGAGCTCTCCCCTGTTCAGATCTGCTTTCTGTGCTGCTTTTGCCAGCCCTTTCTTTGCCAATTTGCTCATCGCTCCTCTCTCACTGTCACTGGGTTCCATGGGTTCAGTTCAGTGTTTAGCTCTGGGTGTTTGCCTCTGCTCTCATCAGTCACTGGATGAAGGCTCCAGGATGATTATAGACATCAAGTTCATTATCAGGAATGGGCATTCAAGAAGGTTTCTCCACTTTCTCCACTATTGCATAGCTTGACAATATTTGTCATTGGTGTGTCATTTCTTTAGATCACTAGAAGTCTCACCTGAGGTATTATATGGAGGATAAACATGCATGAGATATGTATACCCTGAAAAGCTTGACTTTTTATATGATTTTATTTGTGGTACATTCCAACACATCTGAATACAGTTGAAATTCATTTTGGATTCTCAGAACCAATCATGCTTTTGAAACATTCTCTTCTGTACTAATATGTGAATATTGAAATTTTAAAATATTTACTACATTTTCATGACTAGAAGTTTTGACATATTTTATTTTGAAACAACCTTTTCACATGTTATAGACCAAGTCCTGTTCCTTCTCCCTCCTCTCCTCATACTCTCCACTCTTTCCTCCACACACCACACTAGAAACACTTCCCAGAAGGGGTGAGGCTTCCAATGGTGAGTCAAGGAATTCTGGCCCATCATTTGTTGGCATATCAAGCCTCCACCTATATGTAAGCTGACACAGGTATCTTGCCAAAGAGAATGGGCTCAAAAATCCCAGATCAAGCCTTAGGGATAACTCCGGGAACCACTGTAAATTACCACGTAGACTGCCCAAGTCACAAAACAATCACCACCTTTCAGAGAGCCAAGCTTGTTTTCCTGCAGATCCCTCAACTGTCAGTCTGGAATCAGTGAGCTATGATTTGCTCATGTCAACTGTTTTTGTGGTTATCCCCCAAATAATCTTAATCCCTTTTCTCCATATTATCATTCCTCCCTCTCTTTGATTGGATCTGGGAACTCGTTAACCAGAATTCATATCTAGTCACTTCTACGTCCTTAGTTCCTAATCTTGCTCACTTAAATTCTGATGTCTGCATTCAGGTAAAGACCCTCTGTGTGCATGGATTCGGGGCCTTCTACTAGCAAATGTGCAGCCTTGGGCCTGATTTCCCAGAGGACATCAGTATCTTTTATCAAACTGATTGGATAATATGAAATGATATGATAACTTTTTGGCATCAAGTTACTTTCCGGGGAAATTTAGTATGCTTAGAGTGAGGAATTATCCATGAAATAGCAGCTGATGGGAAGTATAAACAGGACTGGAAAATACTGGGAAATTCACTGTTTAAGTATTAAAGTCTTGGCCGGTGGTGGTGGCACAGGCCTTTAATCCCAGCACTCGGGAGGCAGAGGCAGGCGGATCTCTGTGAGTTCAAGACCGGGCTGGACCGATAGCCTCCAAAACAATACGGAAAAACCCTGTCTTGTAAAAACAAAACAAAAATAAAAAATAAAAAAATAAAAATAAAAAAATATTAATGACTTATCAATGAAGGCTACAGCCATATATTCCAACTATACCGTTATTTTTCATGGACCTATGGGACTCAACAAACATTTACAGAATTATTTGCTTGAACGTATTTACTACTAACATATTTCCAATAAAGAAGAAATGAAAACATCCCAACACTACGTAACTTGTACCACATTTAGCCAGTCAATACTCAATAATACCTTATTTGAGATGAAATAATTGTCGGAAGATTTTCACAAACGTCCCCATAAAACTTGCATTTTTCTATTGTAAGGACATTTAAAAAACTATAATAAAATTTGATACTTTTCAAAACCTGTCATATCGTAAAACTACAAAAATTAATGACTTGAATGATAACTTGATATGTTAAATAAGGACATAACACTGGTGAGTACGGATGCAGGACAAATACTTTGTGATATCCTTAGTGGTATACACTTTAACAATAGGGAAATGTATTTTAAAAGAAAATATGTCAGGGCATGGTGATGATTACTAATTCTTGTTTATAGAGACACACTCACATATCTGTCAATCGTATATGTAACAGGAATACTAGAGTCCTGCTGGATTACAATGAAATGTGAAATTGCTAACGTTAGATTTAGAAGTCACTAAGATTTATTTTTTAACAATTATGAGAAAGGACAAGAATTATAACACCTGATTATACAGAACTTCAAGACTAAATCAGGGATGTCATATCTTAAAAAGGAAGCCATAGCTTCAGAAACAGGATGCTACTTCCGGCACAGGAGACAGGAGCAGGTGACTGTGGGCAGTGATACTGGTAATGAAACAATCCCTGCATTTGCTAATTCCCACGGTCTCTGTCCCTGGAGATGTCAGGAGCAGGCAGCCTTGTCTGGGTAGGTGCACAGTCAGGCTCGGGTTATACCCAGGATCTACTGAGTCCTGGAGTATAGCCCGAGCCTGACTGGTAGGAAGCCTCTCTGTGGGCACTTTTGTTAGCACTCCTTGCCTGTGATTGAAGGGCTGTGTACATGTAAATTGAGCATGGAACCAATGAGAAGCGTGATTTCATTTCAAGCACAGGGGGCAAATCCTGATGTTTCCTTGGAGATAGCCACCAGAACTGCTGATTCATTTCTCCCTCTCACCTGAATGTGTGCAGCCGGAGAAGCAGCGAAATTGAAAGCACAACATGAAAAGCAAGGATTCTCACTGGACAAAAAGCCAGTAATCAAAAGGAAAACGTAGGAAATGGTAGCAGATAGGGAATGCTCATACATCAGTTTTCTTGGGACTATGCCCTGGCTAATTACAGGAAAGCTGATGATTCTGCCTCTATCTGCATGATATTGAATCTCAGCTGCCAAGAGATACGTATGCTGACATTTTCTGATCGGCCTGTCAGTTTCCCTGAGAGCAATGCTAAACGCATGAGTTTCAGCTTTTCCCCAATATACGTATTTAAGTGCCTGAAATGTGATGCATAGATTTTAGGCAGAAATTTTCACTGCAACTCCTACTATGAAGGGAATGAAATAATCCCTGGCTTTGCTCAATTCCTCAAACCCTGACCCCACACTTGATAGAACCAGTCTGCCTTGTCTGGGTCAGTTTGCAGTCAGCCTCTGACTATACCCAGGAACTACTGTGTCCTGTAGTATAGCCAGAGACTGACTGGTAAGTGCCTGCACTGGTGATGCTTTTATTACTTCTCCTATGCCCTGATTGAAGGACTGTGTACATTCAAATTTTGGAAGGCATAAGAGCCAATGAGGAGAGGGATTTCATTTCAAGCAATGGAGGCAAATGCCGTGGTTGCCTTGGAAATTTCCGTCAGTGTTGCTGATTCATTTCTCTCTCCCAACTGAAAGTTTCTTTCAGCAAAAAACATCTAAATTGAAAACCAATGACCAGAGGAAAACATAAAATAGCTTGGTTCTGACTATGGTTGTCAAATTAATAAACCGATATATGCAAAGCCAGTTGTTAACATCTGTCCATCTGCTTGTACCTACATGATGACTATTTACATAAAAGCCTCCGTTTTTTTTCCTGCATCGCGTGATTTTATTTCTGGGTTACCAATTGTTGCTTGCTGCTATAATTTATTGATATATCATTTGAGCTTCCCAATTCCAATGTTAAATGGTTGAAATGAGACATTCTCCATTATGTATACATGAGCAACTGATGGGCATACTTGGATATATATATATGCAATCATTACATTGAAGACCATTGCTGATTACCACAGGCTTTATCTCCTCAGATGTCAAGAATATCGTGCTCTATCTAGGCAGTGTACAGTGGGGCTCACGTTATACCCTGGATCTTCTGAGTCCTTAAATATAGCAAGAGCTTGTCTTTTAAGAAGCCGCACAGCAGATGCTTTAGTTAGAACTCCATCCTTGTGATTGAATGATTGTGTGCATTCAAATTAAAGAAAATGACCCAAACAGAGAGTGATCTTATTCCTCTTTTCTGCCTGAAATTTTGTGGATTAAAACCAGGAAGGAAAATTG